TTAAGTAAAAAAATTAAAGGAGAAATATAAATTACTGAAAATCCAGTATGCAGGGATGATCGATTTCTTATTGTTCATTAAACTTACGATAAATACGTATTACAGTATTAGGATTATTGCTGTATTATGAAAAGTCGATTTGTTTTTTTTTGTTTTACATAAATTTTTGGATTTTTAAAAAACGGACAAAATTTTTTTATATCATTGGTAAATCATCACATGTGCGGATGTATTATGCAAAAATTTGTGTAACTAAACGGGTAGATTCGTAAAATTAACCAATCAATAACAAAAGCTAATAGCTAAATAAATAAGTTAAACGCCAAAAAATTTTTTGTTTTTTAAAATTAATAAAAACATTAGAAAGCGCTCTTTGCGATAACAAAACTCTAAAAGTTTTGAATCTTGCTTATAATAAATTTATTAAAAACATTAGAAAGCGCTCTTTGTGATAACAAAACTCTAAAAGTTTTGAATCTTGCTTATGATAAATTTATTAAAAACATTAGAAAGCGCTCTTTGCGATAACAAAACTCTAAAAGTTTTGAACCTTGCTTACAATAAATTTATTAAATCGTTTCTATCATTCCAAGAGCTTCACATATTGGATATGGAAACATGTATTCACGAAGAAATTTAACAAAAATCTCCCGCTGAGCTTTCTTGAGTCAAAGTTTAACGGATTCAAGAGTGTGTGACCTCATTATCGTTTCAGGTATTTTCTTTTTTATTAACTTCGATTTCTGTCTTTTTATATGAGAAACTTTAAATTTTGTATCAACTATCCTTTTTATGCCATCTCTTCACCTTGAGTAGCACCCACATTAACGGGCTAAAATTAAATGAGCAAAAGTTGCTAGCATTAGCAAACTGGGGTAAAGCCCGGTACTGGCCAAATTCCACAATTTATGGTCCTTCGAGATGAACATTCCAGTTACCGACCAATTATTTAGCTGTGATAACACAAAGGTGAGCTTCTATATTTATTATAGTGCGAATAGGTTATTTATAGGCACTGTGTACCTGTCACATACTTCGTACCATTAGAGATGAAATATACTTTTTTTTATTAGATTAGGTTTTTTTTATTAGAATAGTTTTTTTTTTTTATTAGAATAGTTTTTTTTTTATTAGAATAGTTTTTTTTTTTATAGAATAGTTTTTTTTTTTTTATAGAATAGTTTTTTTTTTTTATAGAATAGTTTTTTTTTAAATTATAATAGGATAGGTTTCAATTCACATCACTATGTAAGTGTACATAAGTCAGTAATAAGTATGCTTGGGAGTACTTTTTGTACTTGGACCCTTTGCTAAACCTGGTTAGCATCGACTGTGTCCTCTGCTTTTAGCCATTCTAGATTTCTTTAAGAGGTCTACTACTACAAGAGGCGCGGTTATGCCGCAGTTATGCACCTTCTCTGCAATTAAGAAATCTGGTTCACAATTTAATCTATTTTTAAATTATTTCTTTATTATTTTTATTAGTATGCTTGGAGTACTTTTGCAAAAAGAAAAGAAGGTCCCTTTGCTAAACCTGGTTAGCATTGACTGTGCGTAGTGACTTACCAATGTTCTCCAGCCCACCAAATAATTAAACGCACCTAGTATCGCCGCCAAATCAGTTACGTAATCGCTTTTTAAATTTCAATCTGCATACAAGAATAATAAAATCATGAGGTTACAAGATTTTTTGAAGAAATACGAAGTTTTTTTATATTTATTCAACTTATTAGACTTTATTTAATTATCGCTACAAGTTCTAAATAATTACACTCAATTCAAATGTATAGAATATATTTACATCCATTCAAATTTTAATTAATACATATATAAAGCTTCAATTTTAAATTTTTTATGTTACCAATAAAAGGTATTTTGTTACATCCACTCCAAGTTTTCAGAAGCTTTTTTGCTCGTTCAAAATCTTTAATATCATTTACCATTTTTTCGAATAGGTTTAAAGTTTGATTTAATACTTAGAAGCTATGTTTTTTGTTTAGGAAGATTATTAAACTTTTTAAGCGGCTAAAATGTAAAATTAATAAATAAATTTAGGGAATTGCTATTTGTACCCCCCATTTTTGCTATCCATACTCCAGATATCAAAAACTGCTTCAAATAGATATTCTTATCAAGTAAACCCTTCTTTTGATCTTAATAAAAGTTGTTCAACAGGCCTTTCCGGTTCTAATGGTAGTAAAATTATTAAAAACGAACTAATAGTTTTTTTAAAAAAGTATATGAAAGTTAACTAACTTTGGATATATATATCTTGAAAACTACTAGTCCGATTTTAATAATTTTACAACCATTAGAACCGGAAAGGCCTAATAAACAACATTTATTAAGATCAAAAGAAAGGTTCACTTGATAAAAATATCTATTTTGAAGCACTTTTTGATATCTGGGGTACGGATAGCAAAAACGGGGGTACGAATAGCAATTCCCTAAATTTATTTAAATAGAAAAAAAAGTTTATATGTACCACATGTAGAATTTTCTTAAAATTTCAGATTCGGAATGAATTTACCAGATCGATCGTTAAATTGACTTGTGTAATTGGTTAAGGCTGATACTTGAATATTTTCAAATAAAATTTTTTTTAGTTTCTGTACTGAGAGGATATTGAGAATTGCATTGTACCTACCTAAATTAATATAATATTAGATTTAGAAATTTTAAACCATAATATAATGACAATGAACTTGCAAAAGCTTCATCTATGTTATTACTGAAATATATTCAAGATCCATATACATATTGCTTTTTCCTTCAACATCCATAAGTTTTTCATAAACTATATATTCAAGCACTTCGGATTTTATAGCATTTTCTTTTTGCATGCGAATATCATTTACAATTTGATCCTCACGTTCTTGTTTTTTGCTTTCATTTACACGGGTTGTACACTTTAAAAACATGATTTATTATTATTCTGAAATGCAATTTTTGGTTTCGTAATTCGACAAAATGAACAAATTTGTGTTTGTTTATTTTAGAAAATATTGTATTACGATATTCAAAGAAATAAAAATTTTCATTGAAAAAATTTATTCTTACATATGTTATCAAATGCCGTCAAAACCATTAATTTTAATATCGGCAATAAATTTAAGCTCCGTTTACGTAACTGATTTTGGTGGCGATACTAGCTGGGTCGTAGGGAGTCGCTCGCTGAGTTTTAATTTTGAATACTGAATAAACATAATTACATATAGTAACATATGAAAAAAGAAATTTTTTCACGATAATATGAGTTTTCCGGATAAATTACATTATGTCTTGCATAATGTAACATGTATTATGCGCATGGCACATCTTTACATCTATGGTATACTGTATCTATACTTACACATATCGGAGTATCTGCTATTAATTAAATTTATAATACTCCAATAGTGATGTGGTGGGAAAATTTAGTAAACCCGTATTGAGCAACTTACGACTAAACATTGATCCGGAAACAATATTTATTATTATATATTATAACACGACGTATTTTTTAAAATTCTTTGTATTATTTATTAAATGTATACCTAATACAAACATTAGAATTTACAAGGATAAGCACGCGCAAGATTTTTTATAACATAACATAGTTTTATAATTAGGACTATATACTTACGATGAACTCGTTCGTAACATTACCTGAAGTTGAGTAAACAGCTCGAGGATGAAGACGAACGATATAGCCAGTCTCTATAATGAGGTGAGCGATAGCGACGAGGATAAGCCTCTTTATTATACAAAAATACTCCTTTAAATCCCCCCTTTTACTATTAACGAAGATACATCTCCTAGTTTTCCTAATATGTAATAATCATATGTAATCAAGCAACATTCCTGCATTTAACAAGTTAACAATGATATCGATATGTACAGTAATAAAATAAGCACTTAATTAAATGCCATAAAAGGATAAAACAAAATTACACATGTGATCAATACTTTTCCAATTACGTTATCGATCAGTGGAAATGTCCCTTAATTTTTTGTGTAACATATTCTACTATAAGATCTGCATGCGACATTTTACACATTTTATAAGAAAAAAAGGACAAAATCGAATTTCGTCTCTATAGTAACTCTGCAACATTACAATTTATCATATATTTATGTTATAATGTTTATGACTTATCGATTCTTTCTTTCCCTAACAATAAGCTTAAAATCCTTAACGAATTAAAAACTGAAAAAGATCTTTCACTTAAAAATGGATGACGATACCTTATTATTAGACTATCACGGGATCCAAGATATGTATTTTATTGTCAAAAGACGGTGCACGCTAGTTAATATTTGCAGAAATAAGGCATCCTAATGAAATATTCGCACTTAGCACTGTTATAGAAATGAAATTAGAGTTGAAAAGCATAAGACATTCATTATCAAAAATCAGCAGTGGTGGGATATGTCAGTGAAATACACAATGCTACGCTGTTTATTGTTATGATGAAAAGAACTGGAATTGAAAAGAATGATATTAAGCTTTAATTTATTATCAATAAAATCCATTAATGCAGGTTTTATGTATTAATGTTAAATAACATGCTGGACTAGGAATGTTTCCAGTTTACTGAGCTCAAGTATTTTTTTTTCTGTGCTTTTTTTTAAAAAAAAACAAAGTAAAATAATGTCAAATAATTTTTCCTTAACTTCGCCTAGCATCTAACTAATTATTTATTATTTTTTAGATACAAGTGCCATTTTATCTGCATATTATATGCAAGAAAAATATAGTCAAATTTCGGTTATTATATTTAAAAATTTTTATTTAATTCTAACTCATAAGGTATGAAAAGTAGTTAATTTGAAAACGAAACTTACTTTAGTTATAACTTTATTATCACTACTAAACATAATTTCCATTTACATTTCATAGTATTTGGAGTTCAACGAATAATTGTACTTTAGAATTTTCTTTTCTGCAGATTTTAAATACTATTCAAATGATTTTTTTATCTTTAGTATTATACACATCTTGTAGCTTTATGTACTAGTTACATATTTTGCTTATTTTTAGTGTGATGATTCTGCCAATATATCATGGCACATTCCTTAGTCCAATCTAATTCTATGTCTTGAAGTTCATGAAATACATTATATAGTAACTGATCATTATCAGGAAAAGTAGTATGAGCAAGCAATTGAGAAAGAATTTCTTTCGCATTTTTACTTGTTGCTCTATGTATGCATTTAGTGGGAGGTGAGTTCATTTCATTATTAATAGTTTTATTACTACTATCAACATTAGTAACATTAATTTTTTTTCTTTTCTTTTTATTATTGTTATTATTTATCAAACTTGACAACTTATATATGTTTACATTACAACTTCTTTGGCCCTTGAAAACTTTTTTTTCAGTTTTTAAAATTTCTTGATTATAGATTGAATTTAATCTTTTTATATCTGAGAGAAAATCCTACTTTATTTATTTCTTTTAAATATTTAAAAAGTTCATGTGTTGCTGGATTAGATAGTTGAAATGTGTTGGTTAGATCATTAGCAAGTTTCTATACTGCTTCCTTATAGAATTGCACATTACGATCTTTATTAACTATAATGATATCTTCTAGGTAATCTGATAAAAGCACTTGTATTCTATCCATTTCAGATTGAATGGATGATATATGTAGTTTGAGTTGTTCTTTATTCATTATATTTAATTTGAAATTTTGTTAACAAATTTCACTCCTAAAACTTCTAAAGCATAATAATGACCAAAATGTATAAGGTTTATTGAATATACCTGACAAAGTAATTGCTATAACTGAGAATTTTTATATACTTGAGCTAAAAAATGAGTCAATGATTGCCTATAATTACTTTTACCACAAACTAAAAAACGAGGTGCAAATGCTGAAAGTGAATGAAATTGCAAATCATAATTAGCTCTTCTTATTCCTATTTTATGATTAATTATATAATCTATCCAATGAAAATATAAGAACCAAACTTTCACAATATTGTTATTATTTATCAAACTTGACAACTTATATATGTTTACATTACAACTTCTTTGGCCCTTGAAAACTTTTTTT